ATGGATGGATGGATGATGTGCTGCCCCCTTTTGAAACATGTCATGTAGTATACCATGTAAGATTTTAAAAATAAATAAAGAAAATCCATAATAGTTGTTTTTGCTTGTTTAAGATGTTTAAAATTCAAACTGCACATACTTTGCATTACTGCTGACCGTTTTATATGCATACCAAAAGTAGTCCTTCAAACCCTAAAGACAAATAATGGCTAAATTAGGATTTTGTAATAGTAATAATGAAAGATGTGTTTGTCTTTGTATCGCAAAAGTCTCTGTTCAGCGGCCAACTCTTAGCTTTAAGCATCTTTGAACACATCAAAGAGCAGCTTTTCCAAGAAGCTGCTTTAGTCATTTATCAGTGTAACTTCATTAAGTTACAACAGCAGGTCTTTTATTTATCAGTCTGTGACGTCGACCTGAGAATGCTCTGGGTTTCATTCAGTCATAACTCGGTAAACATTCCTCAGAAGGAGGCTGCCTGAAAGACGCGTTCAACATGTCAAAGATGGTTAATTTAGCCTAAAATTTGCAGATTGTCTTGCTGTGGTTTACATAGAGGTCCTGTATCACATTTCTGTTTTGTTTTCCTCAGGCACAGCTCTGGTGGTCGTCTACCTGATCCTGCTCGCTCTCTATTACTTTGCTCCATCTCCAGCTGGCTGTTGAGTCGGGGACTGTGACTTTCAGCCCAAGTTACACTTTTTGTAAGCAGGACGACTCCAAATGTGCAAATTCAGTACCTCTCAATGTTGACCCTCTCTTATCTGAGCAGAAATAATGATAACATGATGATGTGGGTATTTTCTTCTGTTGTTGTTTTTCTTTTTATATGATGGTGCAAAACACAAAACTGAAGTTTTTTTTTTTAATCTCAGGTGGATAGATTTTTTCCGACTGCACACTCCTGTTACGTTTCTAATATATCAATTTCTAATATACTTAACATGTTTTTAGGCTCATAATTTATCTTCTTTGTAAACTGTGAAGGAAAGCAAAGCAGTATTTTTACAATACAAATGGATATTATGATCCAGAGTATCTGCACTAATGCTATTTTAAGGTACTATTGTGATAAAAGTTTGTATGAGGCGGGTAAGATGGTGTCTGTCTGTGATAAGTGACATTTTTAAATAAAGCTAGTTTGAAACGAGGCGTGGCCGGCCGTGCTTTGAAAAGAACAAAAACGACATCAGTGTTTTTGAAAAACCAGCTGCCTGCATTTTTATTGTTTGTACAGACAGAAATTACAAAACAATGTACATCGCAGCCACGTTTGCCTTTGAGGAGACATTCAGCTTTTCCCCAAAGAGTTCATGTAAAGTGACATGCACACCGTACTGACATGCAAAGGATCATTTTACTCGGACATCAAAAATGATGCAAATAGAAACATGCCAATCTGAAGCACGCGGGTACATTTAAATTGGCATGCAAAAGTTTCTGTTCTGTCAATAGTTGGGCGAGTAGATGATTAACTGATCTCCCACAGACACAGAGTGGACGACGAAACCTTCTTTTCAACATTTTAAACAAAGTTCTGTTTTTGCTTTGGAAAATGTTTGAATGGAAAAAGGACAAAGGGCACCATGCAAAAGTTTGGGAGAGATCTGAGCTCCCGGATAACTTGTGACGGATGTCTAAAGGCATTAAGGAACTCATCTAAACTACGGCATGTTTACAGTCACTGACAGGCAGACAACTGACCAAAACACATCCCCGTTGTTCATCTGCCATCTGTTGGTTGGAACATGGGGAAGCTCACACTGGGCCCTCTTGTTAAAAAATAAATGATCTGATGCAAATTTCTCAAAAGCATTTTCCTGTAGTCATTTTCTCAGTTCATAATGTAATTAAGAAACAGCAATTAAAAGGAATGTTGGCGGTCAAGTTGAGGTCTGAAAACTAGCTGAGAGACTGCAAGCAAGAAAAACAATCAAAGCCCCCATCTGACTGCAGAAGTCCTTCAGGAGGCTTCAGCAGACCCTGGAGGGGAGGTGTGCTGTTCTACTGTGAAGCAACACTTGCACCAATACAACCTTTACAGAGGAGTCATCAAGGAATCCTTTCCTGCATCGTGAGCACAAAAACCATTGCCAGACGTTTGGACAACTAAACAAATCCGATGCATTTTTGGAAACGTCCTGTGAACTGATTACATTTAAACAGAGCTTTCTGGCTGCATTGGGCAGAAGTATGTTGGGAGAAATACTCAAAACCTCATGACAAAAATCACCTTTCCAACTGTATCACAGGTTAGACTACTGATGCTTTGTCCTCGTGTTGCAGAGGAGTGGCTTCTACAGCAGGATAATGATCCTAAACAGACCTCATGGGGGCACTGACAGCTGGTTAAACATACACCCACGTACAGAGGCTACAGCAGCCAGGGTTTGATTCCAGTTTATGGTTGTTTGCTGCATGTCATCCCCTCTGTGCTTCCTCCTTCCTGTCTTTAAAAAAAATACCCATTAAAAAATATTTTTAAAAACACTTCTAATTTCATAACGGACCCTTCAGGAGGCATGAATTGAAGGTTAAACTGTGGCCCTCCCAGGAACGCAACCCAAAACATCATCAAAAACCTACAAAGAGCAGCACATGCCCCAGAAACTCTCAGACCCAGGAGTATTTCGCAGAAGTAACACAAAAATCCCCCAAACAAGAACAAAACAGACTCTTGGTCGACAACAAATTTTACGAGATGTGAAAACTGCCAAAGGGAGTGTTACTAATTACAGACCATGCAGGGCGCATTCACTTTAGTTTCAGGACTGCTTTCCTTTTCTTTTTTTTTAAACTTTGAAATTGTAAGAGATGGGAAAAAAAACTACTCTTCCCTATAAAATTTAAACAACGAATCATCTTTATCTTTGAAATCAGCTCATCCTTTACTCGCCTAACTGTTCACCGTAACAGAAATTTGGACCCAAACTTTTGCATGCACAAAGTTTGAGCAAGCGGTGAAGCAAGACTGCTTCAAAGTAAGATTTAAATAAGGCCATGACATGTCCAAAGGAAGTAAGGCGTGAAACAGGGCATCGTAGTACAATAACTGTCACATGAGTTTAGCTTAATATTGTACCAACATGTGAAACAAGATGCTGAATGTAAGGCTCACATAAAAGATGGAGGGGAAAAAAAAGTGTGTTTTGATACAACTGGGAGTTTAAATCTACAGCCCGCAGTACCGAGTACCTTAAATCTGGTGACACATAGAAGTCTGCTGACATATTGACGATGACGGGCGTCTGCAGAGCTCTTCAGACTGATCACAGTATCTCACAACACTCTACCTTGTCACTAGTTTTATAAAGTTCCTCACCAAGTACCAAAAGCACTGTAGAAAAACAAAAAGTTGAAAAATAAAAACAACACAACAGAGCCTTTGTTACAGTATAAAAGGTTAGAATGGAGTAAAGTGGGAACTGAAAGTGACAATGAAACTAATATACAATCAGGTACAATTCAAAGACTTGTAATAAAATAAAACAAAAAAAAAAGCAGCACAGTGATTCAAATAAATAGTTACAAATGTCTCTGTGGGTTAATGAAGGAGGTATCTCCTGATGAACCATGAGCAGAAGAGGCTCATGTGGGGAGCACCAGGTAAATCATACAGGGGCGGCTACATGAGCACAAATTAAAAGCTTAAAAAGACTCATTAATATAAAAACAATGTGTGTGTGACATTTTTTGGAAATTCAGAAAGGCACCGGATGAAGAAAGAAGAAACAAAAAAGGCTTGAGGATCACTGTGGAGCTACAATTCATAAATAACTTCATGTTTTTTTTCTCCCAAAAAGAGGAAGAGTAATCGAAGAGGCACGAGAAGATTCACAGTGACGGCGTGTCGCACATGTTTCAGAGAGGCTTCTGGGTTTTTGTCTGATCAAAAGTGAGGGTTTTCCAATTTGAACAGTTGGAATTTCTGCTCAATATCAGCGTATGATCAGGAAATTCTTGAGGCTAAACCATAAATAGATAATTGACCTAATTGGACTGTTGAGATGTAGCTCAGTTGTGTGTCCGTGTTTCATCAGCAGAGCTTTGTTTGGATGCTTTCCAACTTGCTAAATGGGTTTCAGGGTCTGCAAACCGGTGGCAAATTTCTCCCGTTTGAAACTACAGTAACGTTTAATCACAGTGGGCGTAAGCAGCAGATCACGTGTCCAAGATGGCGACGGTGAAGCTAGCATATCTCAGCCTCGACGTGGAAGTTATACTGCCAGAGGAAACATTCATTTTGCCTTTTGACAAGTGGTTGTCGGAGTGTTTATCTATCCCCTCTCGTACGCCACAAAAAAAAGAAAAAGAAAAAGAAAAAGCCATGCAGTGTGTAAATAACGAGCAAAGCACATGAAATGCATGGAAGTGGAAATCAGCACACAGTAAGTCTGCCGCCTACACTGACGCGTGGCTTCTCACGGGTGCATGCAAATCCGACACACACAGAGCGACTTAAAAAAAACAAAAAAGCACACAGACTAAAGTTAAAAAGGCATTCAAAGTATTTTCACAACTATCTGACATCATCAGGTTTTCTTTTGACCTTTGTTTTTTTCCAGCGACGTTAGAGTCAGTGCCGGTCCATCACTTCAGTTCAGTCTTTGCTCTCTTGTCTATTTGAGCCGCTGAACCAACGTGTGCGTCAGTCCGAGGCTGAGCAGCTGAAGGGCGGACAGCTGGGATAAGTGAGGGAAAGTTTTCAGCAGTTTCTCCCAGGTCAGTTCCAGCAGGCTGGGCACCACCAGCCACACTTTATACAAGGAGCCGGTCCTTCTGTTCCCCGACATGTTGACGACACCGCCGTGGACGTACATGCAGCCGGCCTGACGGGGGGAGGAGGAACACAAGATGAGAAAACTGGAGATTTATGTTTTGCTTACTAGTTACACGTCAGGGTGTGTTTATGATGAGCTACTGACCGGAGTGACCGCAGCACAGTGGAAGTAGGCCGGCTCTGGCATGAGGGCGGGGAGCTTGGTCCACTGGAAAGTCTGCAGGTTGATCTTCCACAGGTCAGACAGGATCAGCTCTCCATTATAACCCCCACATATAAACACCTCTGCATGTGAAGACAGAAGGAGGCGTTGAGGCATGAAAGCAAATATTGAACATGCATCCAGTGAACGCCTTGTGAAACACGTCTTACCGTCTTTGACCTGAACACAACTGTGACACCGGCGGGCAGCAGGAAACCCTGTGATGATAGTAAAACAACAAAATTCAACAAGATGCTTCCAGATCATTTATTTAGCCAAAAAGATGCACATAGACATTCATGACAAACCTATTTTTTCTTGGGGTTTCGTGACTATTTCCTCCCAGTAATTTGTCTCCAAGTTATACGCGTGAATCTGACGAAGACAAAAAGCGTTAAATTGATAAAAACATAGAAAATAACTCTATGTCAGATTTAGTCGCTGTCTCAGTTCCTCTCACCTTGTCCAGTGGATACGACGTCCAGGAAGTCCCACCTCCTAAAATGTATATTCTCTGTCCGTCGTGAGCGAGCTCGTGTCTGTACCTGTGAAATGAAGAAATCAGCAACGTGAGGCAATATTCTGGGAATTTGCTAAAACTTACAGAACATATCGTGTGTCTTTAAACAATCTCTGCGGTCTGACCTCTCCTCGGGCAGATCTGAGGGTGCGTTGTTGGGTTTGAGGTGGGTCCACTCTCTGGTGGTCAGGTCCAGCCTGTGCAGGTCGGTGCTGTAAAGGTAGCCTGTCGTCCCTCCAAACACGTACAGGTAGCCGTTGATGATGACCATCGCCTGGAATCGCAGAGAACACGGATGCATATCATAAGAATAGAAATGCAGCAGCGGCACAAGGCAACGTTAAAAGACTTTTAAACACAAGCGGCGTTACCTGTCCGTAGATCTTGTTGGGTTTCTTCCCTCTGCAGTTCAACAGGTTCCATCGCTTGTACTGGACGTTGCAAACGTGGACGTCGTTGCCGTTGTTCTCACCAAATGGGATGCCGGTGCCGCCGAACACGAGCAGGTTGTTCCCGTGTAAAACAGCTGAGAGGCAGACGGCGATATTATAAAAACTATTATAGATTTGTTGAGCATCATGTGTCCAGTTGGCTCAGACAGGTACACCAGGCCTCTTTCAGAAGTTCTATTTTTTAGTAAATGATGCAGAAAAATCTGTATTTAAATGAAGCTTTGACCACTTGTGTTGTTTACAGCATTCTACAAGTGCATGTTGGATATAAATGCCTGTCTCTGGCATGAGGATGATATAATGTCATTCACTTCTCTGCTCTCTGTAAAGGACTGTAATGCATTTCAACAGCTTATATCAAAAACACACATTTTAAAGGTAGAAATGAAGCAATAAAAAGAGAGAAAAAGACAACAAACACAAACTAAACCAGTGTATAGATCACATTAAGAGGATGAAAACATGAGGTTTGTGTAGAAACATGAACTAAATCTGGTTGTTTAGGCACTAATTGTTTGCATTACAGTTTCCAGAGGAGGCTGTTTGGGTTCTTCTCAGTGACACCTTTCAAACTGTAAAGAGGAAATTAAATAAAGAGTAGCAGTAGCTGCAAAACAGGTTGTCTCCACATGCCCCAATATGCCAGAATCAGACAGATTTGTTGATCGAGGTCCCTAAATTTCAATCAAATTATTTCATTTTTAACTAACTATTAAAATAAGTACATACTGGTATTAAATGTCAGCACTGATACGGTCCTGAATCTTAATAAAGTCAGGCCCATAAAGCCTTCATGAAATTGAATTTAAGAGGCTTAACTCAGCTTTTGCTCCACAAATACCAAATATTCCAACAAACATCTCACTGCTGAGTGTTTCTAGTTTGATAACTAATTTGTTTGATGATCTATTTGTCCTTCAGAGGTGTGGGAGGGTGCTGAGATGACAGACAGGATGCTGAACTGACTGCTGTCTGGAGGTTTGTTTCAGTTGACTGTTGGCAAACATTGATGTTACACCCAAATCTACCGTCATTAATTAGCAGAGACGCACAAAACAAAACACAAAGCAGCCTGTGACCTATGATAGATGAAATAAACTCTGCAGCTGTCCTGACCAGTCATGTTACAGGTACTTCTAAATTACTGATTTTTAAAGATTTAATGAGTTTCTTCCCAACAAACTCAGAACACCGTGACTCCGTCGTAATTTAAACACTGAGGACGACACATCAGTCCTTACCCGACATAGAGGCCAGTTCTGTTGGCATGTAGCCCTCCGTGCGGACCTGCTGCCAGGTGGCCGTGGCAAAATGAAACCTCCAAAGCTCCCTGAAAAGAGGGTAGTCCTCATTCTCGGAGCCGCCTGCCTCCTCAAAGTCTGGGTTGTAGCCTCCGAACACATACAGGTTGGTGCTGTCGGCAACACAGCGGTGTCCACTGCGGGCCGGCGGCACACAGTGTCCTGTGGAGGAACATTTTACAGACCGACCTTGTGAGTGCCTGAGGAAAACCACATCTTCAAGCATACGCATTCAATTCTTCAACAAATGTAGATTTCTGTCCATTATCTAAAAACATGTAGAGAGATGAACAATCGCTCTTTGAATTCTTGGTGAAATAAGCTCATCTGACGTCGTCTCCTTCCCCCGAGGTAAGACAGCAGTTTCGTACCTTCTCTCAGAAACCTGTTGGGGATCCGCAGGTTGGGGCAGGAAGGGGAGAAGATGCGTCGAGCCTGAAGCCACCGAGCTCGCTTCTTGGAACCTGTCAGTCAGTCATCAAACAAGAGAGGACGCACTTAGAAAGGGACAACGATGTGTATGGTTTATGTCGTGTCTGTATTTTATACTCTACAACAGCTGCATTCTGTAAGACTTTAACTACCTCAAAGACAAATTAATCAGTTTAGATGGTTTCAGTATAAAATGTAAACTGATCAGCTGCCTGACTAACTCAAGTTTTTTGTTCACTCTTTTTCATTTATAGTCGTCTCTCTGTCTTAATCCTCCAATATGCTGTATCTTGGCTATCCTGGTCACATGGACATCCTCATGTGTTTACACTTGAGTTTGCCGTCACTTCCACTTTTACATTAACTGTGGTTTTTCTCTCTTCCATCATTTCTGCTTTGTCCTCTCTCTGCAGGATTTTCCGACTCCGGAGCCGCAGGAGTCTTTACCGTCACCCAAACCATATTTAGAGGCAGATGGCCACCCTCCCCTCGCCTGGTTCTGCTGGAGGTCTCTTCCTGCTAAACTGGAGTTTTTCCTCTCCACTGCGGTCACTGTGCTTGCTCACAGGGAATTTTTGAATATGTTGATGTTTACATGTAGAGTTTTCTTGGGTTTTCCCGAGAGTTGCAACAGAAGGCCATGGGACCTTTTTGTTTCTTTTTGGTTCTTTAAGATGTTTCACCTCTCATTCAGGAGGCTTCTTTAGTATTTATGGGAAATCCCAGATGTATATTATCATCCACAAACCCATGACTAATGTGGCGAATGGCCTGAGAACAACCAAGGAGGTGCTGATGGTTGTGAAAGTGCCAGGCTTTACAACGAAGGTTGAGAAACTGGCACATCAAGGATGATTCAAGATGCTAATGCTGGTAAAAGTTTCTGGGACGACATCTCAGGGCTGTAAGTAGGTGATAAGTGGTGTCGTAGAGCCCCGCCTGGGTTTAAAACTGAGCCCTCCTTCCTGCATTGGAGTGCATAGACAACATTGGTTTCTACTGATGGTACTGTGACCTGCATGGCTGAGAATCTACAAAAATATCTGTAAGATCCTCGCTTCACTTAGTCCGGTATACTTATTAGAGTACATAATAAGAGATGTTAACCTCAATGTGCATAAATAATGATATAGTAGCATCTTAACAATGCTATTTAAGTTAGTTGGATAATTTTTTACTTCATATATCTTGTACAGTTTTCACCAACATATCTAAATTACTCAGGGAATATTTTATTCAAAAATAAATCATGCTGTAGGGTTAAAATTTACTCTCTTGATGGAAAGCATTTGGCTGTTGTTATAAAAGGTGCTAAATACATAACAGTGATTTTTTACACTGAGTAGTGCACAAAATCGAGCTGCTCATGTTGTTAATAGTTAAACCAGATCTATTGTTGCTGTCTTGCTAAACATTTTCTGGACTTGTAGCATGATTGAGCACCACACGTACTGATTTTAAGTTGATAAACTTGCTGTAAGAGGTAAAAGTTTCTACAGCTGTGTAACTGTGTTGATGCTAATAGTTGTTTTCTCTCTTTTGTCGACATTGTTCCCCTGTGGAACTATCCTCACCCCCCTCTGCTCTCCCCCTCACCCTCTCACATGCTGCTCTCCATTTAAATGCACCGTTGGTAGCATCAGATGCCCGCTGGCTGCTCATTCACTCACTGCTGCCTTCCGTAGCACCGCTAGCTAACTGTGGCCTGTGTGCAGCACAGCTAGCATCACTAGCTCACAGACTAAACTCACACTCACGAGCATCCTGGTTCACACAAACGCACATTTAACGCCCTTTAACGTTGCCTACAGCACTAAACTCCACTTCTGGGTTTGCTTTGCTGACACTAACGGTTGTTTGCTCTCGCATTGGTTTTGTTTACAAACCTGAGTCGCGGATGGAGGGCCTCCACGACAGTTTCTCAAACTTATTGAGCTGACTGAAGGTTCCGTCGTGCTCCGGCGACGACATCTTGACAGGGGTGGACACAAGACGAGGGTTCAGACCCGGACAAGAACCCGCTTCAGTCGGACCAGACGTCGTGGCATCAGACTGCGAGCTGCAGCTTCACAGCAAAATAAAGAAAGAAGTCCAGCAAAGCGTCCACATCTGCTGCTGCCTGCGGCGTCACGAGCAGCTGGTCTGAGCCGACCAATCAGAGCGGAGGAGCCGCGCAGGTCGTGTTCAAGAGCGGCAGGGAGATGTTTACAGTTTCAAAATGTTCAAGAGAAGCAAGTAGTGGGCAACATTTGATTAAAAACTGTGGATAGAATGAAACATCGTGTTCTATATGAAGTTAACATGTGCTCAAATCCTTATATTACGTCGGAGTAAAAGATACCTTATTTATTAGTTTAGTCAATAACTAAAATAAAGATACACATTTATGATAACTCTCAGGCTCATTTTTGATCTTTAAATGTAGTTTAGAAACGGTTTCCAAAGACGTTGCACTTATTTATAAAAAGAAAATCATTAGTGTCAAACAAAACATTCCTTATACTGCAGAACATTCTGGTACCAGATATTGCTCATAAAAAAAATAACAGTGACACAAGAATAAACAGAGAACCTAAAAACAGCAATTCAATATGAGTGATGCATTAGTGAAAATAAGCACACTAAAACAGAATAGAAAAAGCAGAAAGCACTGGCAAAGACACGGCAGTAATAATAATGCACATGACAATGAAAAACTGCACATGGAATTAAAATGTTGCACACTGTATTGAAAACTGATATTGCCTATGCTTTGGGGAAAGTACTATTGCAAATGATATTGATATTATTGTGCAATTTTAATGGTCCTATGCTTCAGCTGTTCTGCTTGCACAAGGCTGACGAGTTATACAGTTAGAGGAGTTATATTCAATATATGACCAGCTTTCTTTCTTTCTTTCTTTCTTTCTTTCTTTCTTTCTTTCTTTCTTTCTTTCTTTCTTAAAAAGAACATGTTTAAAAGTGAATCAAAACGTAAAAGTTTTGTTGCATCTTCAGCTCACTTTTCTACATACTATATCTGGAGAGTATTTAGTACGAACAGTTCTCAGATACTGTTACCGCACATCACTGCATTAAATGACATAAAAGTATTAAAATAAGTGAAATATAGGGATCAAAGCTCTGAGGCAATGGTATTATTGTTGCATGCAAAGCCTTGATTTGGTCCCAGTTCACCCCTGTGCCATTCAGTTTAATGCCACTGGATCTTTCTAAATGTAAAACATTAAATCAAGTTATACAGTCCATTCTCCACCAGTATGGTTCAATATGGTGACTTAGGACCTGACTGGAAAAAAATAGGCAAACTTTGGAAATTTCTTACAAGATATAAACCAGTTCTAGTGAACAACTTAAACAAAGGACCTTTGAACCAAACACGTTGTTTGACTCCTTTTGACGAACAGTAGAAGGAGTCAACCTTTCCCCCAGATCTTCAGGGGCTGCATTGCTGACATGTTGTAATCTGGATTTGAAGCTGACTGGGAGGAGCTGAAGGAGCCAAACACAACAAGCAGATCAATGCCGTGAAAAGCTACTTGTTCACGTAGACCATGAAAGTAAACATAGTGCACTGAGGAATGGTCATCGAGAGTTGTCTTACTGACAAAGCAGAAAAAAGTCAAGCATGCTCTTTTTTTTACATGGTATTTTGTACTCTAAAGCACTAAAAATACATTCAGCAAGCCTGTGCAGCTCCTATGGTTGCTACCATAAATGAGCTGTTTATGGTCAACTAGAGCTACACATCTAACATGTTTCTATTGAGGTGTTTAACCACAATCAATCCCCTGGTGTTTTATAGGATTCACATGTTTACTCATAAATTTCTCTCCACCTTACCAGGTGGCTAAAATGTTAACTAAAGAGTTTACACAGATCATCTATCTGCAAGGAGAATCTGAGCCACATTCAGCCGTCTAATCTAACACCGCCTCTCCAAATAATTCCTCAATAGACTGGCAGTGGGTAGGAAATGACGCCGGGCCTTGAAATGTCACAGACTCCAAGAAATTTCTGAACAATGAGCCGCTACTGTGTTAATGAAATTAAACAGTAAATGAGTTGCCAGCTCTTTGTTGCATGCGTTGATGTGCTCATAGATTTATGGAGGTCACTGTCTCATCTACATGACTCGCAAAGCGATTAGCATGACTGGGAGACGCACGACATTCATGTCCTTTGTTCGAGCATGAAGGGATTAAAGTCAACGAATGACTCTCCTTTAGATGGTGTGTTGTTCTAATCTTGCAAATAAATCGAGCCAAGTAAAGTCCTGCTTGACTGTTTTGAATCAACCTGAAACAAGTAAAAAAATGTCACATAATTGGGTAAGAAGGGCATTTAACATACCTTACTTTTGCCTGAGGTATAATACAGCCACATACAGATCGCTGCTCTGCTTCACAGTATAGTCAATGCAGCAGATGTTGATGCTCTGTAACACTGTAGGTGGTGTTGCCTTCATGGACGTGCTACACTCACACTGTATAATAAACTAAACTACCACAGTTTAATGTCACAGATTCAGAAACACTATGTTTAAAGGGACAGGAAGGGAGCAGGACAGACTGTGTGGAAGTGTACCAAAGACAAAACTATTGAGTGAATATAAAACCAACACGAATCAGTCTGCAAATGAATATTCAAAAATAGGCAGATTTGTACGAGCAGATGTTACAGTGTGTGTCTGTGTGTCGTAACTGACTTCAGACAAGCGTTATCTTTGTTTTGACTCTGTTGGAAATCTGGAATATTTCAGCTGTCATTTCTCTTTGAAACTGCACCTTCGACCACGGAAGGATGAATCTCAAATCACAGTAAAGGCACCGGCCTTTGTGCTAATTCAGCTTTTATTAATTGAGCTTATTGTCTGTAGCTGTACACACATCAAAAACATCTAAATACCAAATTTAAATCGTGTTCTGCACAAATCTCCCCTTTGCAGTGTGATTTCAACTTGAAATGCTTTGAGAAGAGGAGGATCTCACTGAAGCGCGACAGTTCAAAGTTAAACCGTGAGATGATACTACAAAGTATTGCATCAGGCTCCCAGTGTCTTTAAATACACAGGGCTGGAGTCAAGAGCCTTGGATTGGTTTCGTTACCTGAAACTGTTGTCATGTCTGAGCAAGTTTGGTCAGTATTGTGGCTTACATACGCTAACAAGGTTGACACCACGTTACTGCAAGCAGCCCATCCTCTGAATACACAATCACACTCGGCTCCACACCCAGATTTAACAGGAGTGATGAATAGCAGCGAACAACTCCCGAAAAACAGGTCAGCAAGCAATGATTCTGTGATTCTCCTCTGGGAAGTTTTGAGATAAAACGTGCTGATGTGACGACATGAGCCGTTACTTGTCTCACAACATAAAGAGATGATCTGATGACCACTCAGGAGCAATCACAGGTCATGTGAGACTCTCATATGACTTTAGGAAGTTGCTTTTTCACACTTCTTAAAAGTGTTTCCACCTGTCTGCAGATGTATACTCACACTGCAGTGCTGTAGACATGCAATCAGGGTTTTAGCTGCTTGTCCAGATCCTCTATGAAACAGACATACAGCAGGTAGGAAAGGATTCTGGGTGACACTGACTATGAGCTACTTGGCATTTATTCTACTTTCTAATCGTGCTTAATCATATTTTAGTGAAACAATGTCATCAAACAACGTCTGTGTAAGTAATAAAGTTCAACTAAAGCTTATTTGAAGCCTCAGAGGTCCTAGTCGCTCAAATTAACTCTGTTTTCTAAACACATGGTCTTTTTAACACCATTTTCCTGCGACTCAGCAGAAAACACTGTCTGCAGGAACAAAGAGAGGAAACTTTGCTCTACAAAGACTATACCTTAATCTGATGAAACAACCTTTGTTCTCAATCTCTTTCACTGAAATAAAATTGCCATATTTGCAGACCATAAGGCCGCTAAAAACAATTACACTGACCAATAATTCTTAGAATATACATTTTCAATGTTGCTTTAAGACACACTTACAAATGCTTCCTTTAACAGGTTGACCTCAGTGTGTGCTTCATTGAGATAGTCAAGCTAACATGATTTTATAAGTGCTGGATTTTAAGGTTTTTTTTGGGAATGTTATTGATTTAATGACTGAGATTTGTTTTGGATTGTATTGTTATTGTAATATTATGTACTAATTGTCAGTGTGTGTAATAAGAACACTATTGGTGGGATGAGTAGAATGTTTTTGTTGTTGTGTTTTATTTGCACGTTGTTCATTTAAGTGCATCTTAATAGTTTGTTCAGCCTTATATAGTATAAACCTTATATATAAGGATATAGTTAAGATATTTAATTTTTTTTTAAAACATCATTCCCACCAGGAAGCTCTGAACAACAGTTATTTGCTATGTTTGTTAGTGAAATTTTCCATCGTACAGAGCTAATTTGATTACTCATTATTTTACATGCAGTGATGTACCTTTTCTTTTTGTAGCTTTTTTTCCTTTTATTTCTTTCTTTCTTTATTTTTAGCTCCTATGATTAACAGGGTGTACTGGACAGCAGTTTGTATTTATATCCATGACTTATTAATACAGAACTAAGGCATTTTGTTTACTCACTGTTTTTTCAAATGTATTCATATTTACATGCAGTTATGTCTGCTTCTCTTATGATCTCTCTTGATGAAGTGTGTGTTCTGTCCTGTCCCGGCTGCTGTCTTGTATTGGTCTTGGGAGTTCTACAGTGCCATTGGGATGACAATAAAGTCGACGACATCACTTGACGAAATACATTCACCTGCCAGTTTCATAAAATAGTTTTTAAAAGGAACACAACGATAATCAGCTTGTCTCTTAAAAAGCAGGATTTGTTGTTGTATTGGACATTTGTTTCAGCTGTATTTAATAAACCATTGTGTTCTATCTTGCACCCTTGTACTTACATCTGATTACTTCATCATTTAATTGATATTTACCAAACTAATGTGTGGGATAAGCACCCTGACATTACTCAGTAACCACTCACAGCCATGATTCATATCATTCATGTGAAGAAACTTTGGCCTATTGTGCTTATTTCAGCCTCTCAGTAAGTCAATTTTAGCATAGATCCGCGTATGATAGATAAGCACGCACTTTATCCGCGAGCACCGGTTGAGCAGCCTCGCAAAAACAAGCCACAAGTAGCGTTTCATCCTTAAATGTTGTCTTATATTAGTGTATAAACGAGTGTAGCGGTGTTAGTGTGTGTTACTGAGCGGCAGTACTGACAGTGTGGCTCCGCTCTGGGTGGCGTATTTCTATGTGTGAGCCCCTCCTCTGCTCGCTCTGGTCGCTGGAGGTTGATGTCACTGGCAGAGAGTCTTCAGGACAGGACACAACTAGGTAGAGCTGGCCGAGGAGAGCGCTCCGGATCCGCTGAGGGCAGAAAAAGTGGGCGATGTTGCAGCTGGGATCTTGTTTATGGACACTGTGGGAAGGCTGTTGATACAGTCCGGAGGGCTTGTAGGTATTTTCAAGCTGAAAGGTTGAGGTAGCTGAACAGCCGCAGTATTTTTAGATCACTTCTGAAAGGAATACAAAAATGTCGTCTCCAAGTCCGGGCAAGAGGCGAATGGATACCGACGTGGTGAAACTGTATCCTTTACAGTACATAAACAAGCCCTGGCAGCCGAATGAAATCTCTCTTTTTGTCTTTGATAACAATTGTCAGCTGTCTGGTGGCGATTAATTACATAATTTGCCCCCGATGGCTGCTGTGAGGATGTATGTAATGTGGCTGCTAGCTGTGTGAGATTGATAGATCTGGTGAAAAGTGTGTAACGCTGAACGCTGTGATGTTAATGGGCAGCTCTGTGTCTAACGTTAGTCTGGCGTTGGCAGGCGTTAGCTAGTTAGCAGGATGGCGAACAAACCATGTATTTAATGCTATTTGTCTGAACTCGGTTGCCTCTTGTGCAGCGTTAGCTTTTGCTAGTACACTAGCTGCGCTCGTCCTGCTCGTATCAATAGAGAATTAGCAACGGAAACTGTCGCAATAGAACGCTGGCTGTTAACTCTGTGCTAGCTTTGTTAGCCTTAGCTGGAAGGCGATAAGTTAGCATGTTAGCCCGTAATATGTGGTCCCATCGAACTGACAACACAATGTGAGGTGTTGGAGAGGGCTTATGTACATTTTGGAAACACTTGTCCGAAAAGACACGTTTATTTATTCATGATTTGGTAACGCCAAGGTGGCTAGCCATGTAGCATGCTACCACCAAGAGAGAACAATTAAGGTCGATGTAGAGGCGATCTTTGACAAACGCAAAGTCAACAGCGAACTACTGTGCCTTTATTAGCCTTACAGAGCACAGACTTTCAACATTTTTTGCTTTAATGTTTTCTTTTTGCTAAAATGCAATATTTCTAATTAAAGATAAACAAATTATAAATTGTATTTAGAGCAGATAAGTCACGGTTGGCGTGTTTCTCCATAAATCATACAGATAAAAATGTCAGTTTAATGATGCTACAAGAGGGAAAAAGGAAGGTGTAGGATATTGTCCGTTTTATAATTATTTTTTCTCAATAACATTTCTCTGTGAGGTTTTGTGCCACATTATGTTTTAATTTTTCTGACAACCCACTCAAGTATTGTTCTCGCTTTTGTATATTTTGTGTCATTAATCGTTATTTGTGGCTCTCGGCTGAAGTTTTTGCATGAAAGGTTTTCTGACAGCGTGAGCTGAATTGTTTTGTTTTTGTCCTGCAGCTAGATGCTGCTCTGTGATTGGTCCGCCTGTTACCATCCGGAACACGGTGGAGGGCGGGCCTTCACACACAGCTGATCGAGGAACAACAAGCGTGCTGTAGGGCCGCATGCAGGGATGGGGGCTGGGAACAGCGACCACGGCGGGGACAGGGCTGCACACACTGAGGCTGAGTGGGTCAACATGTTGTTGTTGTCGTCCCAACAGAGCTCTAGAAGCGAGTGCAGAAAGAGTTAGAGGAGCAATCGAGTAGTTTAATTGTAGTCGTTGAGACAGTTTTCTGCTCCACTTACTCAAATGTGAGGATTTCCTGTTTTTGTTTGTAAAATACATCAAATCAGGTTATTTATGTAGCACATTTAAAACAGCAGCTGGTAAGCCAAAGTGCTTTCAAGCAGACAAATGAGAGCAAACAACTGTTAGCACAGTGACACAGTTTAGAAGACCTTTAATAACAAGTTCCTAAACCTAAATTTAGAAAGTTCAGTTTGTTAATCATCCTTCAAATACAGACAGTGTTTACCAAGACAGAAATGATGCCACCGGTTTAACCATTAATAACATGTACTGCTCGGTCCTGTGCAACAGATGGTTCTGGTGATAAAGTCAACTGACTTTTATTTATGTGACACATTTAAAACAGCTGCTCAGTAGAGAAATAAGATTAACATGCAAATTTATCTAACAAGTTTATAAATTCAGGATGAGACTCTAGAGTGTGATCTATGGTGTGAATATACCAGAGTTTATTAAATGTCATGGTTCTGGTTAGCTTTATACACATTTACTGCACTAAATTATAGTGCAATGTTATCACCCTACATTAATATAGCGCTATTAGTGATGTAAATTTACCTAATTAATAAAAAATATATAAGTTAAGACCCTGTGAAAACTCATATTAAACCTATTAAATCCAAAACGTCCGTACAGCTTCACTTTTACAACATCAGAGAAAAAAAAGCTCCTTTTAACAGGAAGAGATCTCCAGCAGAACCAGGCTCAGGGAGTGCAGCCATCTGCCTCCACCAGTAGGAGTGAGGGGGAAGGGGAAGGAGAACAGGAAAGAAAGAGGCAAACAGACAACAAACAAGGGAACATAAACACCGGACAGGTTGGTGGGAGCAGCAGATCAAACCCCTGCAGCTCCAGAGCCAGAAATACCTGCAGAGAGAGGACAGACGGGACAAAGCACAAAGAGGGAGAGAAAGTTAATGACAAGCAACGGCACATGAACTAAATGCATGAAGGGAATGACCAGGAAGCAGCCAAACGAACAGGATGGCTCAGCTAGAACAGGCATCTGTGGAGTTTTGACTGTTTTTAGACAGAAGAGAGAAAAAAAAAAGTCCTGAAATTCTAAATATTTAACTGTTTTCATAGACGGACTGATTAACTGAGTGTGAATACTTAAAATAGTAACCCGGCCTTACAGACACTGTGTTTAATAGTTAAAAATTCTTCATCAAATATGCAGTGGTGGTATTTTTAAATGTGTTTTTTTTTTAAGTTGTTTCAAGTTTGACAAACAGATTGCAAATAAATAGGACATAACATCTGAATTCAACACTATCTTAACCAGTCTCCATGATAACCAAACATTGATTATATTACTGAATAAAACTTTATTTACAATCATAATGTTTCCTGACCTCACCTTAGATGGTTAGCGCTACAATACCTGTTATGGTCCAACCAGGAGCTGCATATAAAATACTGAAAGTAGGTGGATTTAGTGTTACCAAAGTACACTGTTAGTTTAAAATGAATATATGTGCTTTTAATTATATAAAGATTGTGTTGTATGCTGACAGTAGCCTGGATGTACAGTCACAGCTTTAAAAGGAAGCAAAGGGAAAAACACAAAACCAGCTCGTTGACAACAGTGTAAAATATGGATGAAGAATCTCCAGATAGAGAAGTCAGTGACATGTTTGGATCCATCGCTCCTCGCTGTGGTGGATCTTGTTCGACCAGTTCCCAAACCTCAGCTTAGCGCCAGCGTGAAACCGAAGATGCCGCACATAGTTTCACGTCTTCAAATCAAATAGATTGAGCGATGGATCTCAGTCGCTCTGATTGTCAAGTTAAATATTCCTCTGAATCAGCTGATGGCGATTCCAGATGTTAATGATTAGTTCGATTGCACAAATAGACACAGAGCAGATTTACTCAGTGTCACGAGAGCTAGAATTAGAAAAAAAAACTCTTATCTGTGTCTCAGAGCTGATAAATCAAAGAGCACTGTGAGTTTTAGCCTAAGTAAAGCTTTTCCCGTGTGTGGTTACATTACTCTCAGAGAGCACAGGCCTGGGTTTCTATGGATAACCCTTAGGGGGGTGAAACGCAACAGAAAGACGGCGCAGTTTTTGCTGCACAAATGTACATCTACAACAGGTTTTATTTATAGGATCACATTTAGAGCTACCCTGTCTTCTTGGTCAGTGGTTTGCGAACCTTTCTTTTTTTCTTCTATTGAGTGACTGAGCTTTTTAAATCTTCTTCTTCTCCTCTGGTGGCTGTTTACAGTTATTTTGCCTCCTGACAGTTATATAATCAAGCTGTCTGGCGTTATTTGTGCTCCAGCAGTTTCACTAAATTAGCATCTGAATGTTACCTTGGTTAGATGGTTGGAACAGAGGCGACAGAAGGATTTATGACAGGGTGATGAAACCGGGCGCAACAGTTACTTTTGTGGTTTTTGTGTGTGTGTGTTTTTTTCCCCCTCTCATCTGTCATTGTGTCACACTCACACAGTCATTGAGATTAAATACACTCCACCTTTCTGTGCTGCTGACTCAGTCTACAGTATCGCCACATGCCGGTATTATTATTAACCAACCAGCACTTTTTGCGTCTTTCTCTGACAAATGTGGAATGTGCAGCAGAAACCTGTCTCAGGGTTGTTGTGTCGTTAAGGAGACTGTTTGTCTGTTAGTTGAGTTGGTCTGACGGAGGCCTCTGCATTATTGATCTCATTGCCACGGCTGACGCTATTGATCCCGTGTTTGACCTCTGCCCAGGCGAAGTTCACGGGGAACTAAAAGCCCGGCTTGTTTTTGATGACGTTTGACTTCTCCCGTCCCTCTTGTTGCTCTTTTTTTTTTTGTGCTGTTTTTTTGACTTTCCCTTAACCAGGCTTCAGCATCGAGAGCAAGCATGAGGTCACCATCCTGAGCGGGCTCAACGAGTTCGTGGTCAAGTTCCACGGACCGCCTGGAAGTAAGAGCTGCGAGAAATTGACTGATTAACATTTATCCTCACCTTCTGTTCACCAGCTTGTCACTGATGTAGCGTACATTTAATCAGCATTACCAAAACAATAATTTAACCGCCATCTTCTTGACATGTTTTGCTTTATGTTGGCATAGTTGTGATATTTTTACTCCTATTTGTAATCAAGCGCCGTATGAAGGAGGCGTGTGGAAGGTCCGGGTGGATCTACCAGATAAATACCCCTTCAAATCACCATCAATAGGTATGAGAACATATTTGGAATCTTTCTCAGTGTTAAGTGTTGTCTGGTCGGGTCATACTGTTCCAGAGCCAATGAGTAAATCTTACAAAAATCTGTTCTTTTCCAGGATTTATGAATAAAATCTTTCATCCCAACATTGATGAAGCGTAAGTAGAACAACTTTAGTTAATATCTTTTTTATTTAACCGTCAGCATTTTGTTGATTAAATTGTTTTTATGGCAGTGACCTGAGAGCCACTGAGGAACTTACTCATGCTGTCTGATGTTCACTTCTTACTTGAGATCCTGCCTCTCATTTTACACCATTCGCTCACAGTCGTGTCTTTTCTTCAGGTCAGGAACCGTGTGTTTAGATGTCATCAACCAGACGTGGACAGCTCTGTACGGTAGGTCTCAGCCGCAGCCCGACCTCGCATTCATCCGCCGGTCACTCGGTTACACTGACTGACAGTAATGGCCAATAAAAGCGCACAAAGCGAGCAGCTTACAGCGCACCTCTACGGCGCGGCGGCGGCGGCTTCAGGCAGAGCATCTCGGTTTAATCGGCTTACACTTTGGTGATAACTGCTGCCTGTATTGAGGTCATGCAGTGAGCGCCGGTGGATGAGAAGGTCCAGGGTGTTTAAACAGAAGGAACACCTGGAGGGGATTGTTCTCACCCAACCTCCATCAGCAGCAGCGTCCAGATTTAGGTGTACATTTGCATTTCTGTGCACCAGATATGTTAACTCAGGGCTCTTTGATGGGGTTTGAAATTCCATCGCGGTAGAAGAAAGACAGCTGAGAGGTGTTTGTTGCTCACCTTGTTTTTAATCCACAGCTTTTGTTTGTTTTCTACACGAGCGCTGTATGTGTGAAAACACCCTGATAGGTGTATCTGTGTGGGTGGTGGGACGCCGGTGTGACGAGAACTCTGCACAGATAACAATCTGACAGACTGAACAGTAGAACCAGTGAGAGGATCCAGTCAGCGGCCGAAGTTTCAGGAACTTTTCTATGGAAACTTTGCACCACTATAATATTGAACGTAGAGACTCTCGGCATGTATTTTTAATCGATGTTTATCCAGACGAAAGACAGCGCTCCTTCAATTATGTATCTGAATGCTGTTTTAGTCTGACAGACCGAAAGAGGGCATCCTGACAACATATGCAGACACAAAAATAGCCCCGAACGCTTGTGAAATCTTCAGAATGTCCTGAAGGCATGGACGAGATTTCCAAGAAACGCACAAGACCTCTGCTTTATCTGCTTCCTGAGGACGGAGCTTCAGTCTGCATCAGAATAGGTTTATTGTGTCACGCTGATCGTTTTCTAATTACACAACTTTATGATGTTTCCATGTAAAAAGTGGAATGTTTCAGGTTTCACTTCTGGTTCAGGACGCAGATCTCTCAGACAGGATTCTAGTTTTCTGTACAGTGCAATACGTGTATAGAAAAGTGTTCAACAAGAGCTAAAGCTTTTGATAATAATTTAGAACTCTCGGCCTCGTCGACGTGCTGCAGAGTCCAATTAGGACCCATCAGATGAATTAAACATCTAAAAGAATCTACATATCTAACTGTCCTGCAGCAGAGTGACTGTAAATGTCAGTGAAATTAGAGCAAACCACTTTTTTAATACTTACATCTTAAAAAGCTGAAGTTGATCACATCTGATCAGAAACAGAACATCTATACAGTGTTTGAATGAGGCGTCCAACAGAGACCTCTAGTGGCTTCATCATGTAGGTGCACATGTGATGGAATGACTAAGTAGTGCAGCTCCTCCGGCTCGCTCATGTTTCTCTCCTGATTCCTCTTTCTCCTCCAGACCTCACCAACATCTTCGAGTCGTTCCTCCCTCAGCTGCTCGCCTACCCCAACCCCATCGACCCTCTGAACGGGGACGCAGCCGCCATGTACCTGCACCGGCCGGAGGACTACAAACACAAGATCAAAGGTAACGCAGCAGTTATCTCCGAATAAAGCGTGACTGTACTTTAGCAAGCAGCCGGGTGAGCTGAGAACCGGGTGCTTAGAGTTCATAGTGATGTCAGCAGTGAGCTCCCAGTTTGGTTCCCAGCTGGACTCTTAATGCACGTCGGTCCCCTGCTCCCCCCACATTTCCTGTCTTT